TTTCAGTTTCAATAGGAAAATCCAATCTTTAAGAGGCACAATTCATCAGATCTTAAGTGTAAATACCTGTGTACAGAGGAATAACTCCAGTAAGATTCAAATCAATCACTCCTGCCATTGAGATTTCTTCATCCTCATTAACAACGTATCCCGAGTTATACCTGAAAATATACTGGTTAACTTAGGAGGTTTGATTAAAATCAACTAGGAACCAGAGCATAAGTTTCGAATTACCTGCATTGTTTACTAATATATCAACAGTTCCCCATGCATCAACAGCCTGCAGATGCAGAGATCGTGAGACAACAGCAACTGTCAAAACAACAATAAAGTGAATCAGCAGAGGGTAAATTTGCTCACAGTTTTAATCATTGATTCCACATCAACTTCTTTTGAAACATCTCCCCCAAAGGTAAGAGCTTGACCACCATATGCCTCAATCTATAAGATGAAGTCAAACTATCAGTTGTCCACGAAATGTTGAGCACTTTCATGCCTCAAGAACAGCAATATTAAGTTCACAGGAGTCAAATTTATGAAATATTAAGCACTATAGCTGGAACTGAAACAATAAGCATAAAATTTAGGAAAAAAGAAGATAACCATACACTTCAAAGAAATTTTTATAATCAATTTGCATAAAGAGTCCTATGTAAATATCAAACAGACTTCTTAAAGCATCATTCACCTCTCTAGAAACTTCCTCAGCTTCCTTTGATGACCTTGCATAATTGACTAGGACCTGCAATTGCATGAACATACTCAGTATCATAACAGCTAGGAATGATTGACAAGTGAAAGTAATCACACTATTCATTTTTATTGATAAAAGGAGCTGAGCAGACAGCAATAAATGAAAGTAATCACACTATTCATTTTTATTGATAAAAGGAGCTGAGCAGACAGCAATAAATGAATGACAAATGGAAGTAATTGTAATATTCACTTTTGCTACTAAAAGGAATGGAGCAGGAAAGGTAGAGGAAAAAGGACCAGAACTGAATTATTTTTGTATAAAGCATGCAGCTGTGGATGAGAGCTGTCTATCAGACCTGATATAATTAGTTCATAAAAAACAGGAAAGGGCAAAATACTCTCTTCTATCCGTTTAATATCAGAAAGATCCTGAGAAGATAAGTCCACCAACCTTACATCCTGCTTTTCCTAGGGATAATGCAACTGCTCTCCCAATACCTCTAGAGGCTCCAGTAACAATAGCTACAGGAGACTCCACCTTTTGTGCAACATCTGGGATTGCCTGTTCAACAGCAGCAACCTGAGCTCTTACACCTCCTTGTGCTATAAAAATCAGTGGGACCCAAACTTCATTTCAGTTATTTTTCTTAATCTATGTAAGAAAAACAGATCCAATATCATCATTTAGAATAGTTTAAGCATGAAATATCAAAATTGCACGTAGTAATCAGCAGAATAAAATAGGCATAAGAACATAACAGTAAAGACAACAATAGTCTAATTTTCCCTCGCACAATTGACTTGAACCCAATGTTCTATATGCAACATGCATAGAATAAATGAAATTCTGAATCTTTTCTCAAATCTAAATTCTCTCTACAAAGGGATTTTTTTTGCTTTTCCAAATAGATAAACTGCAATAATTCTTTTTTTTTTTTGAGATAAATAAACTGCAATAATTCAATCTAGGAATAAGATCTTTGGGATAAATGACCAATCACATAAACTAAGAAATTAGTGGAAGCAATCAAGAACCCAGAAAAGGATCAAATTTTACATGATTTTGCAGCCTAGGTCCACGGCTAAGCACCAACAGTTGCACTTCTACATAGAAATTATAATGGTAGTTAGGATTGGCTTATAACTAAAAGCCAATCTCTATGATGCAGAATTTCACTACTCAGGTTTTGGAGAATAGAAGCCATATCAATGTCGTAGAACATTCAACAGAATGAGAGGGCACTTTCATTTTCTTTCTCTCTCTGTCTGCAATCTCCTCATTTATCGGCACCACACTGTCTAACAATTTCTACTTTTAATTAACCCTTCACAATTGTATATAGGGGAAAATCACAAGAACATGAGCCAAGTTTCACCTAAAAATCTTCCCATCACTGCCTTGCCAGGGGCATAATGAACTCCGAGATGTAGAACTCGGATTTGTTGACATGTGCTGCCAGCATTTCATTACACAGTCAGCATTGTACCTTGGATATCAATTTTTACCGCATGACTGCCCAGAAACTGTTGATAGGAAGGTGAGAAAGCTAGTTGTGAACTGGAACTTTCTATAAACATGCTTTTTCTAAATAATTTTACGTTCCTGCCACCAGCGTTCAAATTAAACCATTCCGAACAGAAATAAGATCAGAACTTCATAACTAATCACTACAATGAGGAAAATAGCTCTCAAGGAGTCGAACCAAAACCAATATCACAAGCCATAAAATCTACAGTAGAAAAGAAAAATGTACCGGATGAAGCAAACGCGCTCCTCGATCTGCACTGAAGCCCCATGGAAGGCCGAGACTGAATCGGAGTCCATTGCGAAAACTGAGAAACTCTTCGATCGCCGAAATTTGAGACAGATTTAAAGGCAATGAAGTTGGATCCTGCGAGGGAAGCCATGAATCCGACAGCTCCTGAAAACCTTGGAGCAACAGCGAGGATCGAAAAGGGACGAGAACCGAAGAAAGCAGCCAGAAATGAAAGTGGAGAGAAATGATTTTGCTGATTTTATAAACCAAAACACACAGAAACTTTGTTAGCTGTTTTCTGCTTCGGAAGCTCCGCACTGTCATAAAGAGTGTCGATGAGACTGATGCTGGTGCATTGCCGTTTGGAAATTGTACGTTTGCGAATTTACTAAAATAGACATGGTCTTATCGTTAATTACAATAATGCCCCCCACTAGATTTAAATTGTAGAATGACAAAGCCGCGACAGCAGTGAACGGTGTAATATTGGACATGTGGTGAATATTTTCAGGAATTGCGAATTAAATTAGGTCAACCCCCCCCAACAAAACTGAGTTTTCTTTTTAATTGGCTCATAGGTCATACCTTTATATAATTACTCATTCATTATAATAACTTTAAATTTTAATTGTCACTTATATGATCATATCAATTTTTAAATATCTCTATAATCTTAATTAGATATATGTCTCTTTTATTTTTAACTCATTTATTTTAAATAATTATTTTCATTTCTAATCATATATTTATGTCTTGTACAATAATATTTTAAAAAATATATATATATATTTAGTAATATATTTTTTGTATAAATATCAAACTATTATAACTTGAATTTTTATGCTTAATATTTGCAATTAACTTTTTATCTTCAAGTTGTTATGTCAATCATTATATAAAGATTATATTGTATTTTGCACTTAGCGTATACTTGTCACACACCATCATCATAAATGTATCCCCTCATGAGTACCAAAAATTGTATTAATTAATTTTGTCAAAAATCATTATCAGTCGTCACTTTAATTTTCATCATTTATATATTTATCTTATTATAAAACACTTATGAAGAATAATGAATTCTACTAGTCACTTTTTTATTTAATATTGTCTAAACTCATGTATGGTAATAAATTTTGTCTCGTCAACACTATTTAAAATTGATTTTACTAATTCATAAAATATGACATTGATTTTAATAGTTCATAAATGGGTTGACTAATTGAGGCATTGCTAGTAATAAAACACCTTATTTATTAATAATAATTGATTAATCTATTTGAATCATTAATTCGTACGTACATCATTATATAAGGTTGTGAAAATATTTGAGCTTGACGTAAAATAAAAAATTTATAGAATGCTATAACAAATAAATTATATGAAAGTCTCGAGCTCACACTAATTTTTTTCTTATTTTTTAAAATAATATCATGACTTTTGGAGTCCATCAAATGTATACTTATTATTCTTATTCTAAAAATAAAATATTTAAACTTCATTTTTTGATTATTAGTCTATTAACTTGTGTAATATCACAATAAAAAAAATTATAAAATATGTTAAAGAACGTCTTAAATATTTTACTAAAAATTATACGCCTAACTAAACTGACTTTTCTATGGAGCCTGATTACTAATGTTGTTCTCATTAAAGTTGAATTATTTGACCATATCAACAATCGCATTTTTTAAAGAATTATAAATTTATTTCAGTATGTGATTTTTTATATGATTTCAGAATTTTGATGGAAACTCCTTTTTAAGTGTTTTAAATTTCTTTATTGAATTTAAATATTATAATAATTAATAATTAATGTTAACAGACTAAATAAGAAAAATTAATTTGTTATATTTAAATTATTAATGTTCTAAAACATAAATTAAATAGCAAGAAGACAATTATTATAACTATTTTTGATATATTTTTAATTTATAATCTCAATTAATACTTAGATATAGGTCGTAAATTTTTTAGTTATATCTTGTGCTTGTCACTCAAATGAATCAAAATGACTTTTGGATATGTTTAAAATACAAATGAATCAAAATGACCTTTGGATATGTTTAAAATAATTAATTAAAAATTATATTTTGGAATAGTTTTTAAATTGTGAAACCAATTTTAAAAAAATTATGATCTATTTGCAACATGTTAATAGTAGTGGTAATTTGTTAAAAGAAAATTTATGATCTATTGAAGTATTTAGTTTATTGTACTTATTTTAAACTTATAAGTAAAGCTTATACCATCATAAGGTCCATAAACTATTGAAAAGGAAATGTAAAAAATATATATTTTTATTTAGTTTACTTTTATTTACTCATAAATTTTATATAAATAGACATGTTTTCCGTAAAATAATATTTATAAAGAAAGATTACCAAATAATTAGAACAGATATATAAATAAACATTTAGCAATTTATAATTGAGTTATTTTGATAAAAATGTTAGGCTAAAGTATCAAAATACTCCTATATTGCACAAAAACTTCAAAAAAAATTTGAAAGTATTTTTCTTCAAGTTAACTCCAAAATTTTCAAGAAAGTAACAAACTGCTCCATCTCTATTATTTTTCTCTAACAGTGTTCGGGCTCGTTAACATAACAAATAACATGCACGAGCCACATCACTTTCATTTAATATTTAATAATGTGGCACCTATGTCGGTGATCACATAGACACCATATAAATAAGCCTTTTAACTCCCTTTTACCTCACCCAATTCTTTTATCGCGTTTTCTTCTTCTTCCATCTCGTATGTGCCCTAATGCGAAAAACTTATCTTTTATCTCCTTTGTGCCCTAAATTGTTTCTCACAGATCTTTCGTCTCTTACAACATCATCTTTTTGTAGTGTCCACGTCAAGACTTGGTCTTGTCGAACACAAGCACATAGTGCTTTCAACTTTGAATCACTTACAACCCCTTTTTTCTCTTCATGCCCTAAATCAAAACAATGGAGCCTCTATTTTGAATCATGCCAAGCTCATTCATTGTCTTGAGTTGAATTATTTATGTTAACTCATCTTCATAGGTTTGTCTGTTATCTTTATTCTGCTTCACAAGCTCTTTATATGCACTAAATTGAGATGTAAGCTTCCTTATTTGAAATCATGCCATCAAACTTCCTTCATAAAGGAAAGGTGATTGTTTTATTCCAAGCAAGCTTCCTTATGCTACTTCCTTTTGCATATATATCAATTCTTTAATATTTATATCATTTAGGTTCCCTAAACTATGTATAAATTAGGAATAATCATTTTTACAATTCCTCCTGATGAAGACAACTAGTTTGTGGTTCTTAGTAAAAAAATAATACAATATGGTAATGGTTTAATGATAAGAAAAATATTGTTTATATGTTATGTGGTCTTATGTCTATGTATTGGTAGTGGTTTGCTAGGAATAGACTTTCATTCTAAAATTGTGAAATATTATCTTTAGTAATAAAACTGTAACGGCCCCGTAAATATTAAAATGAAATGAGTATTTAAATCATATCGAATGCGGAAGCGAGATCAAAATTTCAATTAACATCCCTTACACGAAAAACCAAACAAACGTACTTAAAATATAAAAGGTTAAACTAACTAAGAAAGAAAACTCGAAAATAAACTATGCGTATGACTACAGAGTCTCTAGGCATCCCCTTCGTCGTCCTCCTGCGGAACGGGCTCGGGAACCATGTCTTCCTGATCTGAAATGGTTAATTAAGGAGTGAGCTACACTAGCCCAGTAAGAACATCACGATATCTCACCGTCACGGAGATAAAGGTGGGTAGAAAACCACAAAAAGACCAATGGAGCACAATTTACAATAAACTCGTTTATTAACATGAAAACCTTTACCATCCACTTACCTTGGTGGAATTTATGAAAACAATATGAGAAGAACAATAACATCATCATAATCATTGAATAATCTAAGCTGTAAAACATAACACTTATCACGCCTCTTGTAATTCAATCATTGTACAACATATCCCTTTTTCTCATTTACCAGCCTACTAGTATCCATGGGGGTCCATAGGGGTTCCGCTACCCGTTAACCTTTAACATTCATAATCAGTTTCCAGGGCCGTCCCCATACCCCGTCCGGTATGGGCGCCAAAACCATGAACCTCAATACCCCGTCCGGTATGAGGGTGAAACGGGCCGTCCCCATACCCCGTCCGGTATGGGCGCCAAAATCATAAACCTCAATACCCCGTCCGGTATGAGGGTGAAACGGGCCGTCCCCATACCCCGTCCGGTATGGGCGCCAAAACCATAAGATCTCCATACCCCGTCCGGCATGTGAGACCACAATCCCGGTAGGGTTCCCTACGGACCCGGTCCGTCCACCATCTCCCAGGATATCTAGTCAGGCTGACCCCCATAATACAATTATCAGTCTATACAATCTTTCATTTTCCTTTTCCTCAATCAACATCATCAATTCACATTTAAACAAGCAAATCGAAATTCATATCAACAGACAACATACAATATCAGTTTTTCAGTCATTCAACCCATAATTAATAAAAACGTAGTATATGCACACAAATCTGTAAAATGAACACATCAAACCCCATAATGCATTTAAAGCTGTAAAACAGTGTAAAACAGACCAAATAACAGTAAATCATCAATCACACTAGACTCGGGCTCCATTAGCAACCTTAAGCAATTTCACACATGCGTTAATTCAAGAAATACCGTTTTATCATTTTGAACTTTAATACCGTGATAGGAAATAGGGTGAGGGGTCCTTACTTGTTTTCGAGATCCGAATACGATTCACAGTGCGCCTGCAGGCTGTCCCTAATTTTCCCTGAATTTTTCTCGGGGAACTGAAACACACTAACAGTACCTGCACGTGTTCCAAAAAAATTCCAAATTAGGCCCAGGGCCTCTTTCGGCCCAAATCGCAACTCCGGCACGGCGGCTCCGCCGTGCTCCGGCGACGGCGCCGCCGCTGGCGGCGGCGAGTCACCTCGGGTTGACTGTTTTCGGCCGTTTCCGGCCGAATTCGGCCACACTCGCATTGGTCCTTGTCAGAAAACAACCCTAGGGCCCTCGGGGGGCCAAAAAATCACGGAAAAACGGAGCTTACCGGTGGCGGCGCTCTCGGGTGCAGCGGCTCTCCGGCGAGGTTCGTGTTTTGGTGATTCGGCTCCGGTCAACCTG